AAAAACCCTCAACACTCTAAACCCCAAAAATCCTAAATCCTAAAATCCACAAACTCTAAAATCCACCAAAACCACTAACCCTAAAGACCCCTAAAACACCCTAACCTTTGAACACCAAAAAGCCAACCCTAAAAAGCCTGAGCCCTAAAAAACCACAAACTTTAAAAGCCCTAAAAACCAATAGCCCTAAAACCCTAAACCGTGGAAACTCTAAACACCAAAAAACCTTAAACGTAAAACGCCCAAACCTCAAATCCTAAACCCTAAATTCCTCAAAACCCCTAACCCTAAAAACACTAAACCCTAAAACGCTAAACACCAAAAAGCCTAAACCCTAAAACAACACATAATACCCTAAAAGCCCAAACCCTGAAACCCCTAAACCTTAACAACACACTAACCCTAAACAAACCCAAACCCTAAACACTCTAAACCTCAAGAACCCTAAACCCTAAAAAACCCAAACCCTAAAACCCCTAAAAACCCCTAACCCTAAACACCCTTAAAACCCCTCGAAACCCCTAGCTTTAAAAGAGCCCCAACCCTTAAAAACCTGAACCCTAAAAACACAAAACCTTAAACACCCCAAAACACCAATCACCCTACAAACCCTCAACCCTAAAGATTGTTCTAAACACCAAGAAGCTTAACCCAAAAAAAACCCTAAAAACATCCAACTCTAAAAACCCTAAACCTTACAATCCCTAAAACCCCAACTCTAAAAAAACCCGAAGACTCTAAACCCCCAAAACCCTAAACCCTAAAAAACAGAAACCCTAAAACTCTTGACAACTACTCACCCTCAAAACCCTAAAACCCCTAACCCTAAAAACCCCTAAACCCTAAAATACCTAAACCCTAAAAGCCTTAACCTTAAAAACATGTCGACTGATAAATTCAACAACTTCCTGTCATGTGCGGCACAAACATGATTGAAACCTGGATTCTGGAATTTGCGGAAACCTAAGGGTCTGGGCGACTCTAAACCCTAAACCCACCAAGGACCTATTCTGATCTGTTGTGTAAGCACTCTCAAACCCCAAGCCCTAAACCCTGGAAACGTCCCCAACCCTAAACCCTAAATACTCCCAAACCCTAACCCCTAAATCTTGAACCCTAAACCCTGAACCCTGAATTCTAAACCCTAAACCCACCAAAGACCTGTTCTGATCTGTTCTGCAAACACTCTCAAACCCGAGGCCTAAACCCTGGAAACGTCCCCAACCCTAAACCCTAAATACTCCCAAACCCTTATCCCTAAACCTTGAACCCTAAACCCTGAACCCTAACTCTAAACCCTAAACCCACCAAAGACCTGTTCTGATCTATTCTGTAAGCACTCTCAAACTCGAGGCCTAAACCCTTAATCTCAGTACTCCTACTGTTACTGGGCTGTGAAAGTGCTTGAATTGTTGTGGCTCGGTGCGAGAATCAAAGCCTTTTGCTGTTTGAATCGACGCCTTTTGGTGCTTGAATCAGGGACCTTCAGTGTCTGAATCGGCGCGTTTTGGTGCTTGACTCGGGCTGGTTTAGTGCCTGAATCGGTTGGTGCTTGAATCGGCAGTGATTGAATCAGTTGTGATTGAATCGTAATGCTTGAATCGGGCTTGGTGTTTGAATCATGCGTTTACTTTGATTGTTAAAGTTAACAAGGAACTTGCTTCCTGAGTTACCCCTTACGGAGCTTCCATGACATGGTCGAATTTTCCTTTATAGAAAACTCCACAGAGTAACAGAAAAAGCTCCGGGGCTATTCTCTGGAAACCACTTTTTCCCTGGATCTCTAGAATAGTGGGGATTAGACATTACTACTGGAAGTGGACCCCGCTTACTGTTGCAAAGCGGAGATTAATAGGTGGATTGGATGACTCATGTTGGGTCTTGACACACTGTGTGCTAGCGACTCATAAGTTCAAGAACATGTAGGGCTCATGATGAGGTTGGTTTGCCGGAGTTAGGTTGATCTTTTGCAATCCAAAATCACGCCACTCATGGTTTCTGCCCTCACCATTTCACCCTCCACATGACATCATAAAGAAGGGATTTATAAACGCCAAACGCCTGACAATGTTGCCCTGAGTCCAGGTTCGGACTTCTGTTGCGGTAGCTGCTCGTTCACATGTGTAAAGCGAACAGCTTCACCATCCAAACAGCATGGACAAACTGGCAACAGCTCGGCCAGCCAGGATGTTGCCACCCTGCTTGCATGTGGATTCTAACGCTGCAGGCACCAGCAGCACTTCCACCAGGAAAGCATTGCACACTTTTTCGGGCTGCAGCCCAGTGAGCGACGGCGACAGTTGTGCTAGCAGTGGCCACGATTATGTCGGAGCCGGTAATTCGTATTGCACTAGCAGCTACCACCGCCACTGCCACTGCTCCCCCCTTCCGCTCCATTTTCAGTCTCACCATCACTGGCAATGTATGGCAATGTTAATACACTCCCACTTCTCTGAAAGAAATTCGGCGCAAGGTCCTCCAGGGCAATGACAGCGGAATCGCTGACAAAAAATCTCAACGACGAAATTCCAATTATAAGCATATCCTTCGCTGCAAGCGTACAGGAGCAATGAAACATGCACATGGTTGCTGGCTAGGACGCCATCAGTAAAACCACAGATTGTCTAACAACAGAGCGGGTAAAGACAAGTCTTGCCATGGACAAATTAGTCTCTACACTGGCCTGTCCGCTCTCCTAGCCCTTGATAATGTGGAACACGCTTGAAAACTTTGGCGTTTCAAGCTGGATGCAGCACAGCATCTAAAACAGGCAGGCCGATCACGAAGACCGCAAGCATGATGATCGCCAAACCGGTGCCGGCATCCTCACAAAAGGGCTCTGAAACTATTCTTTTCGCTGGCATCCCTTACTCCAAAAACATTCACTATCACTGACATGATCCCTGGAATTCTCTGTTGAGATATCAGTTCATAAACACGGTGCTGGTTTCTCTTCTGAATTTGGGGTCAGGGATTCATGTTCTGCAACGAAGGAGCAAAGGCTTCGGACTGGTACTCTGCCAACTTGCTCAGGCACTGAAAAATGGTCACATCTGCCTTGGCGTGCCTGTCATATTTGGGTTGACGGACCGAGAAAGGCAGCAGCTCCCCATGTCAAAGCTCTTGCTCCGCCAAGGCACTCCGCTACGTGCATCTCCTCCATGATGCCTCACCAGAAAGACTGCAGGGACAACTGCAGCTCAACCCCGCCCTAACTTCTGGTCAAGGCGCGGATCTGCCATGGAGGGAAGCCATTCTGCTTCAAGATTTGTGCATCAAGACGAAGGCCCAGAACAGGCCTGCCATCTTTCACCACGTACCAGCTAGACCGCCAGTGCGAGCTCAAAACCTGCTGAGGAGTCGGCCACCGCATTCCTAGCACAAACAGGATGGCAAAGACCATCAGAAGCAGAAGCATGAGAGCTGCTGCACCTGAACCCAAACGCTGCTTCAACTTCAATAAATTCAGCTTTTTGAGGATGTTGACTTCAGATCAAAACTTCGTCTGCTTTTGTACCGCTTGTGGGCTGCACCCTGCTCGGACTCTCAACTACTTTTTTGTTGGAGCTTTTTTCAATTCGGCGCCTTTCTTTCCAAAAACCTTGATGGTGGGAGGGTCGGCAGGCGAGCGCCAATCCACGGAGCGTGCTTCTGGCAGCTTGGGCGGATGAATACCTAACCTGAAGCAATCTGAGCGTGAAGACCAGCGGAAGGCTATCTGTCAGTACCGGCAAAATACTTGAATGTTCTCAGATGAAACTAGCCAAGCTGCGACGAAATTGTAGATCCCCAGCAGAAGAGCGTGTAGCAAACAAAGCCAATGTCCAAGTTGAAGAGGCCGTTGATGGGTGGCCGGTTCAAGTGCCGCACCAAGTAAAGAAGGAAAATGTAGGCTATCATATCTGGACATGCCCACTTGGAGATCACTTGAACCTCACCGGCGCCACAAACTCCACGCACACTAAGCACACTAGCAGAGCATGCTTCTCGTATGAAAAAACTTGCGGATTGGATAGCCTTGTTTCCATAGGAACCTCCACTTGCATAGCACTTCATGCCCAGGCACAAAACCAATGAAGTGCCGAGCCCGATAGATTCGACGCACGTCCTAAGCTTGAGGTTGAAATTGGAAGTACGAATCTCGTCATGTTATCATGTGATTACATCGAGCGTCCTTGCTGTGTCGCATGCATTCTGCGTGCAGCAGGAGGTAGAGCTTCAGCAGCGGAATTACTATGGCAAAGAGGGTGACCAGAACCTCATCGCAACGGCCATCCCAAAGCACTTTGCTTGCCCATGCCTTTGAATCAGCGCCTGTGCCTCTCTCACATCAGCGCGTGACTTGCTGATTATCCCACCGACTGTTGCTAGTGTCAATCACGAAATTGGCGTGAGAAATTCTGTGGCACTGCTGAAACTTGCGCACTCCAAGGCACAGCTCCTGTCCAGGAGCCAGTCTTGGCAAGCAAGTTGATGAGACCAAAAGTGCTCTCAGAACCGGATTCCAATACCTGCCACACACTGCTAGGAACTCGTCGACACATGCACGACAAACTAGAAGGTGCTCAAACATCGCGAATGCCAACTCAAAGTTCGCACACCGGCACCATCATCTACCATTTGCTGCTTACAAATGTTGGCATTGCTGCACACTTCACTGGTCCTGTTGCCCTGGAATCTGATCCACGGCAGC